CTCTCTCTCTCTCTCTCTCTCTCTCTCTCTCTCTCTCTCTCTCTCTCATACACACACATACACACACACGCACACACAAACACGCGCGCGCGCACGCACACAAACACGCACCGCTTTACAATCCTCCACCTCCACTCCTGGGCTCCGAGTAGCAACTGCGGTGACTTCCACTTACTTCATAAATAAGTGTAGCCCTCCACCATCTGGCGCTCGGCTTCAGCTATGGACTGGCACATTCAGCCCCCATTCACTTGGCTTCATTGATCGCCAGCAGCAACATAGTTACTTTCTCTTTTGCTACACTGTAAATGTAAGGTTCTGAGGGGGCAGGCCGGCCTTCGAACGACGGCGCGTTGGGCCAATAAGAATCCGCAGAAAGACGACCGCTACCTCACAGAGACCCACAGCCAATGGGCAATCGAAGGGGAGGAGCTGAAGGCGTGGCCTCGTCCCTTTAAGGAGGGTTGATCCGACGCCGCTTCGGGTCCTCTGTGTTATAACACGGGAGGTGATGTCATTGGCAACCAATCAAAAACTTAAAAGAGCCATTCGGAGCCCGCGCGGAGCAGCTGCTCTCTATTTACATGTAAACCGAACCGGCAGGATGCAATTAACCCTTTCCGGGGCTGAAGTGTCAGTGGGCTGCGCTCGCCGCGCCGGCTAAAACTGGTTCTCTCTACTTTCGGGATCCTCCGGGATCCTCCCACACCGATTCATTCAGAGGCAGACCACAATGTCTTTATTTTTCCTTCTTAGGATTGATGATCCAAAGTGTTGAACTAACTTTCTAAAAGCAAGGGACAAAGCGTAATCTCCGTTCCTAATGGGAAAGCCGGGTTCTCCGAGTCGCTCGAGGTGACTGGACAAACGCAAGCCCAAGATACGCGGACAGCACCGAGTTTTGAGAGCTGGGGCGGGTGTGAGCGCGTAGCCAGGGGCGCGTAGCAAGGGGCGTCGCTGCTCCTCCCGCCGGTCGCCCTAGGAAAGTGCGGCCCGCCTAGCCTCGTCGCTCTGGTGTCCTCGGGGCAGCCCCGCTCAGCCTCGAGACCACGCAGAGTTGGTCGGCCGCGCCTTGACCCGCAGATGTCGCTGCCCCTCCGGCTGCCCCATTGCTTTCCGGCGTTGCGGCAGCCCGTTGTCCTCCGGCTCCCCTTCTTCCCAGCCCCGGTTACGCCGCCGCCATCCCCGGCTTGGCCCCTGGAGCTTGACTGCAAGCACCAAGGCGACGCTCGGGAGGGCTGCTTGGAGGAGAAGGCTTGGGTAAAAGCCAGAGGCCACCCAGGTGGCGGCGCTCTGAGCTACAGCACCTGCACCCTCCCCCAAAGCCCTAGATTCCGGGGCCCGTCGCGCGCGCAACACTTCCCCGAAGCCCGGCCTAGGCCCCTGCCGGCTGCCTGCTCCTGCTCTTCCCTGTACCCAGGGTCCCGGAGCTGCGCCGGCCTCCACAGGCCACCCGCGCTCCGCTCCTCGGCCGACGCTCCTCCGCCCCTCAAAGCTACAGGCGAGCCAAGGACCGCCAGCCTGGCGCTTCTGGAACAGCCAGTGCGGGCAGAAAAAAGCCAGAGCCAAAAGTAAATGGCCAAATTGAATGGAGCTGGAGGAGCATCGAGGAGGCGACGCCGCCTCTCCCAGTTCACTGGACTTTTGCCGGTAGTGAGTTCGCAGGCCTCCCTACGCATCTCGAGAAGAAAAGTGGAAAGCTGGGTAAGCTGCCTAGCGCTTCAAGAGAAAAATCCCAGGGAAACTGCAGAAATTTGGCCTGGAATACAAAAAGGAGTGGACAAGCCCAGATGAACTGTTAAAAGAGTTTACATCAAAGAATCTTTAAGAACTAAAGAGCTTCTTCTATCCACACCTTTTGTCTCCTCTTTGCTCAGAGAGAAAAGGGGAAATACTGAAATAATTACAATAGAATAATACATTGTGAACACTCTGCAATATTTGATTTTTTCTTTGATCTAATTGGAAATGTTTGGAGGGGTACCTCAGATGCCAGGTCTAATAAGTATATGAAGAGACAGGGACTTATCCTTAAAGTTAAGATCTAAAATCAGAAAGTGCTAAACCATTGCTGGCCAACTATCCTCAGTTGAGGTGTTTTAAGAGAAATCCCCTTGAGTATTTGCACATGGATGCAGGCATAGACACAGTTCATCTTCCCACACACACCAGAATTTCAATGCACATCAGATGTATCTAATCTCTTTACATAGGATGGGATTTTGTGTAGCTCCCTCCTCATGCACAATCCAACACACACACACATTCATTCCCTTAATGACAACTAATGAGTAATCCAACACACACACATTCATTCCCTTAATGACAACTAATGAGTACTCAGCTCCCAATAGTTGGTCCTTGCACCTTTGAATTTCAGCAAATTGTGGCCAGGAAAGTTGGATTCTAGGTAATTTCCCTAGGACTCAGATAAGAACTTCCTGGAAAGGTCTACCATGGATCTATTTGGAGCTGAAAAACTACAAATCTTTTCCTAAGCACATACAATTATTGAAAAAAAAAATGTTCACTAATTCTGGGAAAATTCTAAATCCTGATTCTGACTGCCTTGTATCTGATCCATCAGTCACTGTGTTCATTTATGTATCTGTAAAATGGTAGTACACCAGTTCAGAACAAAAAGTACTCAGGCAAGCGAGAGGGGAAAAACGATTCTCTTTTTGATATTCAGTATCAAAGGGTATTCAGTTAGAAATCATTGTACTTGCTTTAGAAAATGGAGTACCTCTATATAAAGGCACTGATAATCTATAAATCATGAATTCATTGTTAATACCTCAATATCTAAGCCCAAATAAAGTAGGAATTTATACAATTGCAGAAGAGCTCTTCTTTTCCACAAAGCCCCAATGAGGAAAGTAACTTCAAAAAGAAATATAACTCATTTAATGCAATGATTATTTGATTATAGTTTCAAACTAGTGAATTTATAATTCGGTTGACTAAGATGACATCTTGAAAGTGTGCATTTTATATTCAAATTATAGTCATAGGAAAAAAAACTCTTCTAAGTTTCTTTTGTATAAAAAGAGGTGATTTTGTTCCTGTTTTTGAGTCATGAATGAAAACACTATTTAAAATATTGCCTTCAGGTTTAAATATGTATTATCAGTGAATCAATGGCCATGAACCTGTTCTGCATACAGAGAACCAGAAGAGTCTGAACATTTCAGTTTTAGTCCCAGGGAAACAATGAAAAATCTTCACTGTATTTGAGTGTTGTTACATGATTATATTGGATCATAGCTTCACACAGCACAAAAAAAGTACAATTTCTTTCAGCATAAAATTCCATGTGTTAAAGCCACAAGAAAAATGAAGACAACTTAGGCCAGATATGATGTATGATATGGATAGTGTTAAACAAATATATTAATTAAATTACTTCCTTTATGTACATTGAGATTGTTGAGTATTTGGGGCAATTGCAAAACATGAAGTCTTCAAAATAATACTCAAGGTCAAGGTAGATTCCTGGAGATTCTACAATTAAGGAAGAGTAAGGCTTACCAATAATTTAGCAATAATAAATCCCAGGATAAAGATGATCTTAAATCAACAAGAAGTAGGGAATGAACTAAGGAATAGAAAAGTGAGATGTAGAGCAATTGAGGTCATTGGGCCAGCACTCTCCACGTCTAGGGGAGTGCTGGAGAAAGAGAATGCTGAAGGAAGTGGCTGCTGTGGTCTGCATGTGTCACTTCAAATTCACATGTTACTTAGTCACCAATGCAATAGTGGAGAGGTGGAGCCTTTTGGAGGGGATTAAGTCATGAAGACAAAGCCCTCATTGGGTAGGAATAGGGAGTGGATTCATGCATTTCCTTCCATCCTTCCTTCCATCCCTCCTATGAGAACACAGCATTCTTCACCTCTAGAGTTCAGGGCAGCAAGGTATCACCTTGGAAGCAGAGACCAGACCTTTGCCAGATTTGGAAGCTGCTAGTACTTTAGCTTTAGAGTCCTTCCAACTATGACAAACAAATTTCTATTCTTTATAAATTATCCAGTCTCAGATATTTGGTTCTAACAGCAGAACTGGACTTGACACAGTGACCAATGCCAGGATAGAACAGAAGCAGGACCATGTGCTTTTGTCCTTATCCACATTTGGGTACAGGAGGCCTGCAGGCCTTCCTCACCTGAATTCATGAGCAGGAGCATTTGTGCCTGGGGAAAGGCTCTGTGTCTCTGTGTTTGAGTATGGTAACCATTTGACATATGAGATTATTCAATGCTTGAAATGAGACTACTTGAATTAAGATGTGTGAGAAGTTTAACACATGTTAGATTTTGAAAACTTCATAAAATATGTAAAATATCTCAGTTATTTTTATATTGATAACAGGTTGAATTATTTATTTTTTAGATATGTTAAATAAAATGCTATTAAAATTAATTCTACCTATTTATTTTACATACAAGATGGCCATTAAAAAATCTTAAAGACTTAGGCAATTTATTTATTTCTGTTGGATAGTACTGTTGTAGAACTTATAATTGCTTCTTTGATTTGGGTCACTTTGATGCCAAAGGCACCAGAACCACAGAATATTAGATGTGGGTGGGACTTCATAGCTTATCTAGGCCAGTGGTTCTTAAACTGTGTTAGTATGATCCAGGGGGAGATGGGATACCAATATAAGTGGGGGTAATTGAAGCTGGAGCCAGGGTAGGCTGGTAGAGTTCTTTAGCCATACTCTTATCCCTTACCACTCCATACTTGTTAGAGATAGAGATATAATGTTTTGTTCAGGAGACTCCAAAATAAAATATCATTTAATGAAAAGATCCTGGTTGTTCTTTTGGTTCTACTTTGGTGTTTAATCCTTGCCCCTTGTTTTACCTATAAGGCAATTTGAGGCCCAGAGAATGGAGACAGCATGGACAAAGTTATGCTTGATCTCAGGCCTCAAATCTCTTTTCAAAGTCCAGTCTGGCCTCTACTGGCCACTCAGAGGTGACTGACTGGATAGGGGAATCAGTGAACTCCCTGTCTTCACTTAGGAAGTCCAGTTCTTTCACTAATCCCCCATTTGTGACTTCACAAACACTTGCTGCTTTTTTTGTCAGAGGATTCTGCCTAGGTCCAGGAATGTGAACCACTGGCATAAACTTATTTTCTTTATGTAAATAAAAACAAAAACTAACTTCTGGATCATGAGTCTCTGGCAAGGCTCTCCTCTGTGGTGGATGACCTATTATTATTTATTATGTGTTACTACATCAAAGCCTTGTTCACATTTGCCCCTCTACCAAGCTGAGCACTCCTGTTTTATCCTTAGAAGATGCCTCCAGAACCACAGTCTCTGACTTTAATAGCCACAGCTGAAGTGTATTGTGAGATGTGAAGTTGAAAGACAAGCAGGCATTCTAAGCAGTCTCAAACTCCTTCCCGACTTGCTATAGGTCTAACACAGTCTGAGCATCTTTAATCAGAAATCTCAAAAACCGCCAAAATCTGAAACTTTTGATCATTGAGATGCTGTCAAAAGCAGAAAACCCATACCTGACCCCATGTGATGGTTTGCCATCAAAATGCAGATTCACAAAAAGCATTGTGTAAAATTACTGTAAGCCTATATGTATTGGGTGTGTATAAAACAAACTAATTTTGTGCTTAGATTTGTTTCCTACCCCCAAGAAATTGCATTATTCTTATGCAAATATTCCATTGTCCAAAATATCCAGCCTCAAGCATTTTGGATAAGGGATAGTTAATCTGTAGTAAAGAATTAATCTAATCCTCTCAGCATCTCTTAGTAGGTTCACGCTGTACCACTTAGTACATACCAAGGTCCTTTAGATGACCAAGTGTGCAGTAATGTGCCCACTTACCTTTACAGATCTCAATTCTAAAGATCTAGAACTTGGAAAATGAATAATAATAGGCAATATTTATTGAGTATTCTGCTATTTGCTAAGTGCTCTTGTGATTCATATGCATTAACTCATTTAAATCTTCACATTCACACTCAAGTTTTAAGTAAATACTTTTATTAACATTATTTTTAAATGGGGAAACAGAAATATAGATAGGCGAAGTACTCTGCACGAAGTCATACTGCTAGAAAACAGAAGAATCCACATTTGAACCCAGAAAGTCTCAATCTAGAGCATCTGCTTTAAGCCTTTTTGTGTTATTTAATTCATTCTCTTTGCAATTTTATAAACTTCTAGCATGTCCAGATCTCTCAGACTCCAGATGACCAAAATAGTTAAACTCTTTATAAGAATTTTCTATTCTTTGTTTTCTTATGGGTTTCTCTGTTTTTCATTTTGTTTTCTATGTTTTCATTCTCCCAAATGCATTCTTCATGTTGAAGACAGGGTCAAAATTTTCACTTTATTCCCAGAAGCATCCCCAATGTTGCTCTGAATTTTGTAAAGAGTTTGGTTGTTGTTGCAAATTGGATTGATGAATTCAAGGAAGTTCCTGTGACATTTCTATCACAAAGACCAGATGTTGTTGCCATCCCATCCATAGTACCTGGCACAGAAACTAGCACATAGCATGATCTCAATAAAAGTTTCTTTTGAGTGAATGAGATAATGAATTGAGCATTTTTTCTTAAACTTATCATTCCTATTCCATTTGGGCTGCTATAATAAAATATTAGAGACTGGGTAGCTTATAGGTAACAGAAATTTATTTCCCACAGTTCTGGATGCTTCAAGTCTAAGATCAACGTACCAAGCATGTTCAAGTTTTGCTGGGGCCTTCTTCCAGGGTGCAAACTCAGATGTCACCTCTGCCTTTACCTGGAGAAAAGTGTAAGAGGTCTCTCAGGCCTCTTTAATAAGGGCATAATCTCATTCACAATCTCTTGATC